TACGCGATGATGTAATCGGCCACAAATAATCTTTCGATACTTCCGAAAAATTCCGTAAAAACCACGTGATTTGCCCCTGCTTTAGCCATCCCCCTAAATTGGAAATTGTTTATTTTGCATGAACTTAACCTTGACATATGACTGAGCAGTAGAAAAATTATTAATATAGTATTACTTTATTTAGAAGGCTGTAGAAAACTGATGTCCCTACTTTGTATACATTTCCAAATTCGATCCCCATTCCGATGTGGTACGTCAGGTTTGACATATGTCAGGTTGGTTTTATTATTATGTCCGTTCCGGATGGAGTTGTCAGATTGGACATTGTGTCCGTTCCAAATAAACATATGCATTTGGGAATAGTAAATATATAACATTACGATATCAACCCTAATATATGCTATTATGACTTTACTTTGGGTTCAGTGCATGTTACATCTTGTCTATTTTCGATAGTGTAGCATACATTGCTCACATGTTTTTATTCCACGCATGTAGTTCCGTAAAAAGAGTTAGAATTTTAAGTCAGACACCATACCTTATTTAATCCAGTCAGATTGTGCGTGTGTGTATCCTTCATGCCGTTCTAAAAGTATACAACAATACGTCCGAATATCAATGAGAGACTTAGCTGCGTACTCATTGTTTTATCAAAAGCTTCTGAAATAGTGCTATAAAGAAATAAATAATCTATAAGTAAGTAATCTGTGATATTACTACTTATTACGTCTTTATCTTATATTGTTCAATTCTTACCTCATAGTGCAATAGTATTACACGTAAACTTACTACTCTGTCGATTAAACTATACTATATAACGTTTGTTACTGTTATAGGTAATCATATCACAATTTACATTCAGTCTAATTCTTTTACATACGTAAAAAAATATTGAAAGATTGGAACGGTTATTTCGAATACATTGCATGTATTACTGTCACAAGGATAATCGTATAATGTTATTAAAAATAACGTTTATTCTCAAAAAACTGCGCAACCTAGGCCAATGCCGAAGATTAGAAAAATTTTCGCTAAATTATTTTAAACCGGGGTTTATTCAACAGATGTAATTAAAACGTTCAATAAAACGTGCGTATAGTGTAATATTGACAAATTCTACGTTAATTCGTAAGCCGTATATTGATTATTGAATTATTCGATAAATTGTGCGCATACAGACAGAAGCCGTAAGTCGTATGTTTGAATCATTCGACAAAAACCACACACACCACAGTTTTCAAATTGTATTTTTTTTTTTTTATAATGATATGCCGAGCCATTATTTTAATACTTTTATTTTTTAGTTTCTTCTCACTAATGTTTTTCGTGACTTAAGCAATTTACAATAATATTTCGATCGATGTTTACTTACAATTTATTTGCGCACCCACCAGTAAAAGACTTATTCACTAAACGTATTCGGTAGCTCAAAGCATTTTTTCATAATGTTATGTCAGTCAGGCAATGTTTGCTCACAATGTACTTTGCACCTCCCGTACTCAAAGCATTAGGATATGTCAGGCAATGGTTTTTTGCATAAGTAAAATAACAATTACTAAACACATTACTTTTGTTCAGTACGCTCGAGCCATTTATTCAGTTTGCACAAAAAGAGACTTTATCCAGGAATATTATTACTTTGTTTGGTTATTTAAAACGTTTTTATAATTGACACGTCACAATAATTATTTAAATTAACTCGTAAGTAAATATGCCATTGTTAGTATAATACACATATAAATTTTTTTTTTTATCATCGGACATTTTATTTTGTGTATTTGTTAAATTGCTTACACGTTTTCGAATAACACTGTTTTGGTGGCGTGTTTTTTATTCCATATTAGGACTAAGTTTTTTCTTGTAAGTTGATAAATAATTATTTAATCGGCATTTTATGGCAACGTATCGTAGGCTTGCCTGTCAAGTCTTGATACGCATTCGAAACAAGAACTAAAAATGTTTTCAAATTGTTTATTGCCTGTTCTTTTTGCAAATCAGATTAATTTATCAAACAATAAGTTTAAAATATTGTACAACAATATTTTCAAGCCTCAAAATGGATAAATGTTATAAAAAGCTCCTGTCATTCAATAACTTTCCCCTACTCGATTTAATTTGAATTCGGTAGATAACGCTACACTAAAACTTGCCTCACGCTTACCATACTTATAGTATTGAATGTAAACATCTTAAACATTATTTTAAAACTGCCTTTGACATTATAGTCGAAATTTTATTTTAAACCATAGTGTGCAGAAAGGAAAAAACTCCTTATGATTAAGACAATGCACGAACGCCATTAAAATCTTAAAATATTTTAGTTCCTCCACAAAATATCGTTACTGAGTACATCAAAGTTTATTTATTTCTATTATATGTTGATAGCTATTTCTTTACCAGGTTCGTCTACACTTAAAACTCCAAAAAAACACAACTATCAAAGCAAATACATTTGATTAAGCCTACAAAAACAAAAAAGTAGCTTTACCAATATGCACGAAAGAAAACTATACGATTTGTTATTTAATTTATACGGTCTTAGAGAACCCAGGAATGGCAGCATTCTGAAACTAAGTGTCTCACAATACGCTTACCACCACAACATTTTAACAGAACGTTTTGTTAAACAATGCAAGACTATGTAAAAAATAAAGCCGGTAAAAAATTGACAGCTACCAAACCGATTATAGCTACTAATTTATGACTTGTGTGGAGGTTGATCTGGTACATACGGACAATTTGGGGAGGAGGTTTACAAGTACATTTGCCATGCACGTTATGGCGGCTCCACTTCTCCAAAAATAAGTTACAGCAACAGAAATTTATTAACACTTTCTGTTAACTACGTCCTAAAAACAATCTCAATAAATAATCTCGGAAAATTTTAACATGATGAACGATTTTCTCAAGAAATTATCTCAACTGGCTGCAGGTGTTCGATGATTGGTTGCAGGATGTCATATGTCAGTATTATCGACATATCAACTCAACAGTGTTTTGTTACATTATTTATTCAGACCTAACAAGTTCATAAGTTATTATTATTATTATTACTATTATTATTATCATCATTATTATAAATAAACACCATTATTAGCTTTCAAAATATTATAACGTATGCCACAAAGAGTTTGTCCACAAAATAACAGCTGTTTCAACATTCTTATCTGCATCGCCCTCACTACGTTTACTTTCTGTTTTTAAACTTTAAAGGTGGCACAATAACTGCTAAAGTTCCCTGTCCTGGAACAATTTGCCGCCGCGTCTGGTCAAGTTTGCTAATATCATACTTTCTAATAAGGATTGACAGTGCTGTCTTCATAGTGTTGGCGGCAAACCATCTACCTGGACACGCATGTTTGCCCAAGCCAAATGCTAATGATGACCGACCAACCATGGTAAGTGGATCGTCGTTGTCGACATATCGAAATCCTGAAAATGTCTCTGGATTATTGCCATGTAGAGAGGAATCGTTTATGTAAGCGATATTGTTTTGAAATACAATGCGGCCTAAAATATATAGTAGGTTTTTATTAGATTGTAAGTGAGATATGTATGGTAATTAATATAAAATTTTTGAAATTTAGCGTAAATAACATGCCTTTGGGAATCTGATATCCGTTTTTAAATGTGTACGATGAGCTCATTAAGCGGTGAGGGAAACCCACTAAATATAAAAGATTATATAAACGTCAGTCAAACAAATACGAAGGAACGCGAAGTCATTCTTTCTCGAGTGACACTGCCTTAACTAAAATACTCACAAGGAAGCCACAGAAGGCGGGCGGATTCTTTGAGAAAACTATCCAATTTTTTCATTTCGTTTAATTTTTTTCCGTCCAACTTAGTTTCCAAATCACCTGCTATGGATTCTTGTTCTTCTCTTAAATCTTTCCAGTACTCTGGCCTTTCCACAAACTCTAATTAAAATACAAGCATTGTAGGCATCTAATTTTTCAATACTACAATTAATAAATAGGACTGTATTTTTCAACCTTACTTACCAGCAAGAGTATTCAAAATACTTGAAGTTATAGTGTGTGTTGCAGTAAATATGAGAGTTAGCAAAAAACATGCTATGTAATCAGGTTGAATTTCACCAAACAAATTAAGGGAGTGGTCGATAATAGCTTGAATAAGATTATTCTGTGTGTGTAAAGCGTAATGAATAATTTGAATAATTTATTTATTAATAGAAATTGATAATCAAATTACTTACGCAATTTGTCTCTTTATGTCCGTGCTGTTGCATGGCTTGCTGGCGTTTTTCAAAAACGGGCTTTAACTTTCTTATTAAAATATTCTTATGCCTTTGTACTGGGTTATTATTATTACCGAACTTGAAGAGTAATCTAGAATTGAAGTGTTCTAAATTTAACGCCATATTTCCCATTTGGGGTTGTTAACAAGACAAATAGTATTAAGTATTGACATTGTTCTTGGATCCAAGCCATTACGATCCCAGCAACGAAACATTATAGTTACTCACCTTATATATGCTCTGTGCAGACTAGGATGAATAAAGTATACTAAGTGGGGAACTTTTAGAGTCTTTTCTAATACAGTTGGAAATGTTGCAAATGTTTCCAGGACTTCAGGATCTCTACATAATTTCTGAGAAAGAGAAATAGTATTGATTAACACTTGAATTGGCCTAATAGAAATCGCAAATCTCAATCAGTGCCATATTTACCTCACCAACAAACACATTTGCAACTGTCCGCGCGACAATATTTCTTACTATTTCCTCAGGACTATCTATTATTTTAGTTTCCTTACAGTCTCCGATCAACTGATCTATACTATATTGTACCTCGTATTGAATGCGTGGCTGATAATTAGCAAGATGTCCGTACAAATTATCCCTGATCATCACAGACATGCTATCAGTATAAGATGGATACCGGGTCGCTCCAATGATGTCGAGAAACGGGAATCTCTGATTAATAAGTAGAGTGAATAAATATTACTCTTAAGCAATAAATGAGTAAATCCTTGCAATTATCGAGCCAACATACGTCGTATACCGCGTTCGTGAGACTAAAATCATCCGATTTGAACAGTTCATAGGTTGGATTATTGCTGAGAACAGTGTAAATTTGGCGAGCTAAATAAACCGAGAATGTATTTCCGTACTACCAAATTAATATAGATCAGTATTCAACAAGCGGAAGTGAATATCACATGATGGTGATACCTTCTTATGACATTGTTTGAGAAACTCCTCAGGATTTCGCTTAAAGTCCAAAGAATGTCCAATTAACGGATACTTGTAAGGTACGAGCGGAGGTTCGTTCTATTGCAAACATCAGAGAAGTTTTAGTGCGTTATTCGGGACACTCCATGTTATACGATACTAACTCACAAGTTTTGGACGCCGATATCGATAAGTTATCACGACAAATCCAACAACGAACAGCACTAGAACGTACGGTGATACTATTATTCCTGACAGTGAAATCATGTTTATTCAGCGTTTGTAAAGAAGCTCAGGGTTTATATATAATCATGTACACGAGTTTCTGTATTTGTCACACGGGAATAGTATTCCTGTTCGGTGTCATACAATCCATTTCAAGGTAGCCCTCGCTAGTTCATTATTCTTGCCATATTTAGTAATACAAATTTTACTTACCAAAATAGTGGGGAGGGATAAGATGAATACGGTCGGCCTCATTAACTTTTCGCATTGACCATATTGGTAATACAAAATTTTTAGTTACCAAAATAGTCAGGGACGATGGGGAACCGTCTTACCCTTCGGAAGAGTAATACCATATATGGAAAATTAGCCGTTTTAGGACTACTTGTGACATTAATTTTCGTGTTCCGAGTGTATGAAAGACTATGGGTGCTCAATTTGGTAGTCAAGGTTGCTGAAATTGGCTGTCACGGTAGGGGAGGTACCATAATTGGTAATTGTTTGTGACGTCTGCTTGTGATAACAAAATTTTCACATGTCATATTGTGT